CCCAGCTGGAGGCTCCTTCATGCACTAAGCCAGGGTCCTGAGGCTGAGCCCCCAGCTGCCAGTCACTGAGGCTGGGACACAGGTGCCCATCTCCTTCTTACCTGGAGAGGATCATGCTGGGCCCTGTTCTCTTGTCTTTAGGGCTCTTGCTCTGCTAAGAGCGCACAGCTCTGAGTCCCCGGAGGTTCGCAGCCCTTGCTGCCTTGGCCACAGTGGCTGAAATCCCTCTGGGGGTGTCTGGAGTCATTCTGTCCTCAGCTGCCACTGCCTGTCCTCTTTGGCTGGGGGAGGGGTGGTAGGGAGGTAGAGTCACATGAGTGAACCCCAGTGGCCTCTGGTCAGGCCTGGGCTAGCCCTAAGCTCTGTCCTCTAGCCCCCAGTCCCAGGAACTGCCTCCTCTACCCTTGCCACTGCTCCCTGGCCCTCCCATGGCTACCCCTAGGTCTCTGGACCCCCAGCCTGCCCAAGAGGTGGCTGTCTGGCCAGCCCACCCCACCCTTCCTTCAGACTCAAACTGCTGCTTCCTAGAGGCCCCGATGACAGCCAAGTAACAGACAAAGGTTTAGGTTGTCTGAGGCTCCACGTGCTCTGAGTTCCTGCTCCCTCCTGAGACTTCCAGAAGCCCTTTTGTTCTATTTTTCTCCTCTCCTTCCAGAGAGGGAGCTCAGGGTCTCTCTCCCCTGGCCCTGCTCTTCTCTAGGGTGACCCTGGGGCCCCGGAAGGCCACTGGGCAGGGCAGCAGGTGTACACCTTTGTTCAGTCCTGGTGCCCCCTCCCAAGAAAGCTGAGCTGGGGCAGGGGTGGAGCCCACCAGCCTCCCCCAAAGCACTTCGCAGGGTTCTGAGATGGGAGGTGCCTGTGGGAGGCCTTGGGGAGCAATTCTCCAGACTCTCGGAGGAGGGGAGGGGCTGAGGCTGCCTCCCGGCAGCTCTAGGAGGCCAGATCACTTACTGACAGGGCAGTGTCTGGAAGGTCTGGCTCAGGGGACTCCATGTGTGGCATCATCTCCAGGAGCTTAGGCCTGGCATAACTTCAAAAGGGTGCTGACCAGGCACACTAAACTCCTTTCAAGAATAAATCTTGCCTCGTGTGAAGCCAGAGCAGGGGTGGGGAGAGACAGGAAGCTTAGGGGCACAAGGTGGGCTTTGGGAGCACATGACCTGGTCTGAGCGCTGGCCCTGATTTGTCGGACTGTGGGCAGTGGCTGCACCCAGCTCGGCTCTCCGAGGGAAGTAAGCAGGGCATGCGCTCGGCGGGTTATGTGGAGTAAATGAGACAGTGCAGGTAAAGCGCACAACCCGGTCTAACCTATTTATTAATGCTGCAAGTGCTTAATAAATGGTGGCCTTGAAAAATAAAGCAACTGCTAACAGCAGTCTTAGCACGAGGATTAGCTTCAAGCAAGAGTGCGGTCCTGGGTGCACCCTGGGGAGTGGGGGACTACGAGGGAGGGGAGGGGGCCCTTTGGGTCTGATTTCACCAGTGGCACAGCTGCTGCAGGCCTGTGCTCCAGCTTTTCCTTGCTTGCATTCATAACCAGCACACGTGCAGTCTGTAGATAGGAAGTTTCGCATCCACTCCGATGGGATCCCATAATGCCCGTTTATCCCCATTTAACAGATAAGGAGCCTGAGGCCCTGCTCTGTGCAATGCTTTGCTCAAGGTAGATTTGCTATAACGGAGGGCCTGCTGGCTTCAGGGGTGCAGTGGGCACAGCTGCGAGCCATTGTGCAGATGCTCCAAGTTTCCTAGCCCACCCCAGGCCTCTTTCAGGTTCAATCACTCAACAAACATGTATCGTCAGTGCTCTGCTGGCTGTGTGTTGGGATCTGGGGACATGGAGATGAATCAGGTGTGATCCATGCCCCGGAGGGGCTGCCAGCCTCGAGGAGAGGTGAGCGTGGCTGAAAGTGGGGGATGACTGGCAAATGTGATGTTGGCAGTGAAGTGTCGTGGAAGTCTAGGGCAGGGGGACAAGTTCCTGACGCTTTTAGGCACGCCCCATGCCCCCCAGCCCACCTGCAACAAGTGTTCTGGGTTGGGAATCTGCTTGTGATTTTAAAAGTTGGGAGTGGCAGCCTGCTTCCTAGGAGACCTGGGTCGTGGAGCTCTGGGCTGCGAGTGGCTGTCTGCTGTGTCCACACCCAGCACCCTCCTCCCCAGACCAAGGGAGGCCCTCGGCAAAGGGGGAGCACCGGAGAGCACTTCGGAAGACTTTGGAGGGAACCTGGTGGGATGGATTGAATCCTGATTCATTAGCCCTGACCACTCCCCGCCCCTCCCCTACATGCATCATGTGTCCAGATCCTCCTTATAACATGTATGTGGGATCCACACCACATCCTGCCTTCAAGACTCTGAACGGTTGAGCCATTGCCCGGCGTCCTGCTCCATCTCATTGGAAACTTTCTTTCCACAGCAGGAGTTCTACCCTCTCTCTTTTTACTTTAGTTGTGTAGGATTTTTCACCGATAAGATCCCAAGCCTGTAACCAGAACCCCTTTTGGGGCAGACCTGGAAACCCCTCTTCGTAGAATTACAACACAGAAAGGATAGCATATATAGCCCAGGCGCTCTTGGTGACTTCTGTGCATCTGAAAGGCCTCGACTCTGTTCGGCTGCATCCTCTGACTGCCTGGGGCCTATGCCCACGCACTGCTCCATCCCTCCCAACTTTCAGTCTCATCCGCAGCTCTGGGTAGGTAGAATGTGAGATTTCACTTCCCTCACCCCCAGGAGCAGGTTTCTGATAATCAGGATTTGCCTATCAGTTTATTTATCCTCTTGTTTATTTTCAAAAATGTGTTGGGAAACAAAGATTGCTGAGCCTCCTTACTGTGCCAGGCCTCCTGCTGGGGCCAGAGTTAGGAAAATGAATAGGGTGTGGTCTGTAGCCTTGAGGAGGTCACAGTCCTTCAAGGACGGCTGGCAAGTAGATGGACAATTCAGATCAGCCCAGGATGGTGAGTGCTGGGATGGGGCCAGCATGTGCTGTGGGAAGACTGAGGAATCTTCACCAGCATGTGGGGGTGGAGGTCAGGGAGAGCTTCTCAGAGGAGGCGCTGACACCTGGGCTGAGTTTTGGAGGCTATGTGGAGATTTGCCAAGTGAAGAGGGAGGAGAAGGCATAAAAGGTAGCAGGTGCAAAGGCACTGAGGCAGACGTGCTGTGATACAGGTGGTTCTGCAGGACCGTGGAGAGTGTGTGTGTGTGTGTGTGTGTGTGTGTGTGTGTGTGTGTGTGTGAGATGGAGAAGCTGAAGGCCGGAGCCTGATGAGAGATGAGGCTGGATCACGAAGGGACCTCGCATGTATGTCATGTTAAGGAGCTTGGAGTTTATCCCAATAGCCACGGGGAGCTATTGAAAGGGATTTTAAGCAGGGGAGCTCCATGATCAGATTTGCGTGTTAGGAGGATCACCCTGGTAGCCTTGTGGAAGGTGGATTGGAGGGTCCAGAGCTGCAGGCAGAGAGATCAGTCAGAATTTCTTGGGATTTTCTCTGTGGTTTTACAAATCTGTTGCGGCTGGGGCTGGGGACCGGGGGGGTGGTTGGGGGGCTGGCAGACACAGCAGCTTAGAAAATAAAAGCTCTGGAGACTCGTCTGAAATGGCTTCCCGACTCAGAGTTTAATTCCACCTTCATTTGCTAATTACTGAGCCTGCCACCCCCACTGCAGCCTAAATGACCAGGGGTCCCCTATTTCCAGATCTCTGCCCTCCCCAAACACCTCGGAACCTGGAGCCCTCAGCATTTAATCAGAGAGGGCCGTGCTGGTCTGGACCCCTTTGGGTCTTTGTCACAAGCCTCTCCAACCTCCCTGGGGGCCTGCAATGCCAGACCCCCGGAGCCCAAACATTGTCTTTCCGCTCACACCCGGCTGTCTGTCCCCGGCACACAGAGCAGCCATTGAGTGGCTGCACAGGCCTGGCGGGGGTCCCAGGCCAAGTTAGTTATGGGCAGTGGCTTAGTCACACTTCTTGGGGTCTTTTTCTTCTGGGACAAGCCTGCCCTTGTGCTCAGGGCTTCCCTCGCACAGCAGCCTGGCTCGCGGCAGCTGCAGAGCCCTCTGCCAACCCTAACAGCATACTTGACAGGCGCCGCCGGTGGGAACCAAAGCCCAGAGTAGGAGCTGAGCCCTGGGGAGCGGAGGGGCCCATGGGAGGCCGCTCAGGGCACCTTCCGCCTTCTCCGCACCAGCCTCTGTTTGCAGGTGCACGGCCCAGGCGCTGCCCTGTTCCTCGAGTCCAGGAGGCCTGGGAAGACCATGGAAGCCCCTCCCTTCCTTGTCCTCCTCCTGTGTGAAAGCCGGAGACCACCCTCTGCTGAAGCTCCTTCCGAAACATGGCTCACTGTCCCAGTGCACCCTTGGGAGTTAGCTGATTGCATGCGTGTATGGAGCACCTGCTGTGTACTCCTGCCTGGACTAGGTGCACATGTGTGGGGTGGCGTCTCATTACAGGCTGGGCCATGTAGTAGTTGGGAGTACGGTCTCCAAATACAGATGGGTCAAAACCTTGGCTCTTCCGTTTGCCACTTGCGTGACTTGGGGAAATTAATTTGCCTGCTTTTGCCACAGTTTCCTCCGCTGTAAAAAGGCGATATTATTGTCTCTACCGCTTTGGTTGGTGTGAAGGTTAAATGACATGATAGTACAGTGTTCAGCTGAGAGCCTGGCATATAGTAGGGACTCAGTACAGACCCGCTGCCCTCTGTCCTCCTTGTTTCTATTGCTGTCATCACTGGATCCTCACTACTACTCACGGGAGGGCTTTTAGCCCCATTTTACAGATTAGGAAGCTGAGGCCCAGAGAAGTTAAGCACCCTGCCCATGGCACACAGCCTGCCCGTGGCAGAGCTGGGATTTGAACCCAGCTCCGTCCAGTGCTACCACAACACAGCTGGCCCCTTTGGTAAATCAAGCACGGGGTCGAGGGGTGTCCTGGGTAGGGGCGGTGGACCCTCCCATTAAATCTAAGTGCTCCTTCTCCGCCTTTCCAGATTTCCGAGCCGGGAGATGAGGGTCGGCAAAGCCCAGGGATGGAGAGGCCTGTGACACCCGGGTGGAAGCTGCAGCTGCAGGGCCCAGGGGCTGCTGGCGATGAGTGATGGTGCCACCTGAACGCCGCTGCAACCCGAGCAGGAGCAGTGACCCCAGGAGAACCTAGGCAGGTGCCAGGATTCAGGATGCGGGGATGACGGCTCCGGAGGCCCCGGCCTCCCCCCGACCCGGGCGTTAGGAGCCATCCCCGGGCTCCACCCGGGAGCCCTGCCGCCCAGGGGCATGGCCAAACCTTTCTTCCGACTCCAGAAGTTTCTCCGCCGAACACAGTTCCTGCTGTTCTTCCTCACGGCCGCCTACTTGATGACCGGCAGCCTGCTGCTGCTGCAGCGGGCCCGAGTGGCCCTCCCACAGGGCCCCCGGGCGCCCAGCCCCCTGCAGACCTTGCCAGTGGCCGCCGTGGCGCTGGGCGTGGGCTTGCTGGACAGCAGAGCGCTGCAGGACGCCCGCGTCAGGCCAGAGCTGCTGCTCGGCGTGGACGTGCTGCGGAGCCCCCTGGCCCGGACCAGACCTGGCCCCCGCTGGCTCCGGAGCCGGAACTCGGAGCTGCGCCAGCTGCGGCGCCGCTGGTTCCACCACTTCATGACTGACCCCCCGGGGCCACCCGCCATGGTCCTCGAGGCTCCCCCCCGGCCGGCCACCCGCAGCCGAGGTAGGCGTTCCGCTGCGTATTGGGAGCTGCTCCCACGCACCCCGCTCACGGTCCCGGGTCGGTGTCCCCGTTCTCTCGGGCCCTGCAGCAGCAGGAGAAGCAGCACTGCAGGGCCGTGGCCTTCGCAGGTTGTTTCTTCCCTTCTCCTCTGCGGGAGGCAGGAAGGGCCTCTGGAGTTTGGCTCACTCACCAGCTGGAATTCTGCGTGGCTCCAGGCCAAGATGTGTGAGCAGGTGACTTAGAGCTCCGGCTGTGGGTTTAGACAGACCTCGCCTTGAGTCCTGGCTCAGCCACAACCTTGTTGGGTCACCTTGGACATGTCACTTAGCTTCCCCGGGTCCCTCAGAAACGGAGGTAGCGATACCCGCCCCAGGGTTATCGTGAGGAGTAAGCAAGCGTGGTGAGATAGAGCAGCGGTTCACAGAGTGGGGGCCCTGGCCAGCGGCAGCAGCATCAGTGCATGAACCTGTCATCAGTGCAGATTCCCGGGTTATTCCGGACTTACCACATCGGGCGCTCTGGACTGGGGCCTGCAGTCTGTGTACGAACACCTCTCCAGGGGCTTCGGGTGCACAGGGCTGAGAACCGCTAGGATAGAGCACCTGCTGTGTTACTCGCCACTCCAACTGGCAGCTGTTGTTACTTAATAGAAATGGTTAACTCATGTAGCATTTACTATGCCCCTGTAAGTCTACTATTTGCAGGTATTAGTATATCCCAGTTTTACAGGTGAAGAAACTGAGGCACGGAGAAGTTAAATAAATTGCCCAGCTCATTAGCTTGAGTTCCCTAGAAGCAAACCCTAAAAGAAGACTCAAGTGCACCAAGTGTATCTGGGATGTGATTCCAGGGAACCCTGGGCGGGGAGGGGAAATGAGGTGGAGAGGAGGGCAGCCACGAAAGGTGGGTTGTTGAGCAGGTTACCACCAGGCAACCGGAGCTTAATCCAGTGGGGGACTTGGAGCTGGAGTAGAACACACGTTGCCGAGTGCAAGCTGGAAGTGGCAGGCCGGGGGACATGGGCGGGGGCATGACGGCATCCACCATAGTCACACTGCTGGATTCCAGCATGGGGACGTCTGGCTCTGGGTTGGAGCTCTTTGCACGGAATTATGCAGACTCTGTGTGCAGGGCCAGCAAATGTGACTGGTGCTCGGTGACCACCCAGGAAGTGTCGAAGTTGTTGGATGGTGATTGAGCTCAGTCAGCTTCTGAGCATCCCTGTCGCCACCCCCCTTGGCCCTGTACCCTAAGTCATGAGAGGAACTGCTCTCTCAACTGTGATGAGTGTGGTTGGAGTGTAGAGTACCAAGTGGCAGAATACGAAAGGAGATGAGACAAGAGGGTATCAGGGCCTGGGTTAGGGAGGGCCACGAGTGCCAGGCCTGGGAGTTTACCTTTATCCTGAGCACGATGAGAAGGTTCCGGGGAAGAGAAAGGAGCCCAAGCTGTCCTTACCTTAGGAGGATGACTGGTAGCCCAGTAAAAAGAAGACTGGAGGGCTGTGGTCTCTTGTCTCCGTGGAAGGAAGTTTCTTTAGAAACCATCTAGGTCATAGCCCTTGCTGTAGGATTCCTCAGGGAGGCTTGCATGGAAAAAGGAAGAAATGAGGAACTAGTGCTGCAGCTCATTTTACGCAGGTATGATTTCTGTAAACTCTCCCCAACACACTAAGAAACTGGATCTCTATAAAGGTTTCACCAGTGCCACTCATTTAGACTAAAGGGTAAATGACTAATGAAAGTCAACATGGATTTCTTGAGAGGAGGCCATATAGAGAAAGAACATAAGTTTTGAAAACAGACATGGATTCCTCTGCTGCTACTGCCAATTGCTGGCCCTGTGGCCTTGGGTAAATTCACCTGCCTCGATTCCTTTCTTCGTTTCTCTCATCCCACACTGAGGGTCCACTGCCTGGGTCTCCTTGCGTGCTCTTCCCTGTGCCCTTGAGGAGCTCAGTCTGGTGGTGGAATGAGACATCTGCACCCCAGTGACTCCTGCAAAGCATGACTGAGATGTGCTAGAGGCATGTGCAAGGGGCGTGACCAGCAGAGGGGAGGGCTCAGGGTGACCCAGCTATAGCCCTGGGTGTGGAGTAGTTATGTCTAAGAGAACCAGTGGGCACCCCTTTACTATAAGTTACTCCCAGTGACTTAAAGAAGTAATGGAAGGCTCTCTAGTAAAAGCCAGAGAGATTATGGTTAGATGTAAGGAGAACTGATATTCAACTTTATAAACCAGTACGGTCTTAACAGTTGTTAAGATATTGAAATACCTCCATGTCTGTTGATAAATGGTCACTGCCCTGGCCCCTGGGGTGCTCCCTGCACTTTGCCTCCCCAGTGACCCCCAAACCTCCCCATCACCCGGCAAGGAAAGGGTTAACATGATTCCAGTGCTGAACGGTGGAGTTCTGAATGGTCAGTGCCCCCCAAAGATTGTTAAATATTTTGACTGTGCCCCAGGATTTAAGGAAGAATTTGCCGTCCCTGCACAATGTGCAAACCAAGTCTGGGGGAGGCTGTGTTGTCTCATGGCTGGAGGTCGCCAGAGAACAGAGGAAGGCAAGTGCTGGCCTGAAAGCTCTCTGGGGGCCCTTCCCCTCCTGGGGCTCTGTGGGTCCTGCCTGGCCAGGTGGGCCTTGCTGGTGGAGAGTAGCCCACAACTCAGCCCTCGGGCCAGCTGCCGGGGTTGCAGACAAAGCAGGCGTCTCTTTGTGGCCGGGCAGCCCGCCATCCTCCTGAAAGGGGATCCTGCAAGGCGTGGAAGCTGCAGGAGGCCCCATCAATCACTGAGCGTTTCATTATACCTTGGACAACATCCATAATGGAATAAAATGTCAGTAAGTTTACTGGGGGAAAAATAGTAACTTCTCCATAGCCAGTTTGTTTTTTATTGATAGTGATTTCCAAAGACATTCCAATATCTTCAAAGCCATCGTTAATAGCCTCACGGCATGTCCATTTTGATGTGCAAATGAACAGATGCAGAGTCACAGACAATAATGCAATGCCTCCATTTCAGCCGAAAGTAATAAATCCGCCTCAGAATGTGTCCCAGCGTATCCCTCGGAAGTTCTTTCTTCCCTGCGCATTCTCGCCTGCGTCAGGGAGTTAGAAAAGCCATTCATTCTGTTTCCAGATAAAAGAGCTCACCCCCTCCTCCCAAATGGAGGGGCCATCTGTGTCTCAGGCCCCTGCCACACACTGAGACGGGGCTGGCCAGGCATGGGCTTCCTTTCCATGCTGGTCAGTGCCATCGAATGGCCAGCTGATCACGGGGCAGCCACTCCTTGTTCTCAGAAGAACCGGAGCCTGACTGCTTGAGACCATCCTTTTTCTCTCTTTTATTAATGTGTTAGTTATTCAGCTAATATTTACTGATCCATCCATCACACATCCCAGGTTAGAGTGTAGGATCAGAATAATAATAGCTGTTACTTATTTGAACATCTGTTATGGGCCAAGCATTGTTTTGCATCGATGTACATCTGTTATCTCATTTAATTTAATCTTCCAACAGCTTATGATGTAAGTGGTGCTATCACCGTTTTAATGAAGAAGAATTTGAGTTTCAGGGAAGTAAAGTAATTTAAAAATGTTCATTATTAATAACAATGCATTAACAATAAAAATAGTCACTACTGAGTACTAACTACATGCCAGGCCTTACATTAGATGTTTTACGTGTGTTATCTTATGGAATTCTCACAAACATCCCCATGGAATTGGCACCGTATACCCATTTTACAGATGCGGAAGCAGAGGCTCAGAGAGGCAGCACTGCCTATTAGTGGTGGAGACAGGATTTAAACCTGAGTCAGCCTGTTCTCAGAGGCTGTTTCCATCCACTCCCTCAGACATGGGTACGTGCCAGTGTCAGCCTTGGAAGATCTTAAACCCAGACACCTTTAGAACCTTGTGGCTAATTTCCCATCTACACTGATAAATGTTTACCAATCCCTGAGCTTGTGCTTTGGATGTTTAATTGAAAGCTAGAATGGAATTTCTTCTTTGCTGAGCAACACATCAGAAATTTCTCAAACAGTAGGGTTCTTTTACTAAGAAGGCAGGCAGACTGACCTGGGTGGGAGCTTCCTGCCGCAGTCCATGCTGGCCGTCGGGGTCCTGAGCCTGACACAGGGGAGGGCAGCTTGTGAGGCTGCGTATCGGGGCAGCAGTCCTCAGCAGACGGGCGTAGCGCGTGCCTGTGGACAGCACACTGGTGTGGTCACGTGTGCTGATGGGCACCTCCGGGTGAAGGCGGCCTCAAGAGGCTCAGAGCCTGGCAGGGGGCCTGGCACTTTGGCAGACATTGAAGAAGGTGTCTGTTGCTCCCCCCTCAGCCCAGGTGCTCTCTGATCTGAGGGTCTCTGGGTCCGCTGGGTCTTGGTGTGGTGGGAAGTCCAGCCTCCTGCCATCTCGGCCATTCTCTGCTCTGCCTTTCGTAAACTAGGGCCCTGGGAGTTGCACGTCGGTGCATTCCGTAAGACCATCCCCTCCTTGCATGCGGGCTTTCTGCTCCTCCCTTCGCACCTCAAGCACACCAGTATGGTTTTTGGGAGCTGTAACCCACTGTCCACAGTAAGGTGTTGACACTGACCTCGTGCCTAACCCTGGGGCGTCACTAGGGGGGTCACTACTATGGTGAAAATGTGATGCCTCCCTCCAGCAGCCTGTAGTCATGTGCAGAGACAGGACACACGGATACACAAGGTTTTTAACAACCGTTGATGACAAGGGTTTGACGAACAGACAAGTTTTTCAGGCTCAACATGTAAGAATCTAGAGAAAGGGGAGGCCCTGGCCGGCTGGCGTGGTCAGGCTCAGAGACCAAAGCCTCCAAGGACAGGTAAGAAGCAGAGGGTGGCCTCAAGTGGGGAGCAAGGACAGGTCCAAATGTGGGACGAGAGAAATAACTTTGAGCACAGTGAGGCAGGGCGGAGGGTGGGCATGTGTCCATTTGACAGCTGAGGAAACTAAGGCACAGACAGGTGAAGTGACTTAGCTGAGGTCAGGGGTGGAATTAAGTGTAGTGTTCACAGACAGAAAAGCCACTCCCTGACTCGGGCCCCAGACCCAGGTGGCCCAAGCTGCTGCCGTGGGCTGGACTCTGGGGAGGAGTAAAGATGAGCCTCCCTTGCCCTGGGGGAGCTCCCAGACGGGGGACCATCAGGACTCGCCTGCTTCGGGAGCCGGCAGGCTGCTGGGAGGCCTCGGCACGGTGCTTCCCAGAGACGGTCCAGTTTCTCGAGAGGCTGCGGCGCGCTCCACAGGTGACATCGAGGAGCCGACTGCAGACATTCCCGGGGAGATGTGTCTTTATCACAGGTGCCCGATCCAGATCTCGGCACCGCTATTGTGGGTGTGCGTTCACAGCTTGGGGACTGTGCGCTGGCGTGTTTGCAAATTCCCAACATGCCGCTCCTTCAAAACACTGGTGCGCGTGACATTTACATGCCTGATGCCGTGTCTGCACTGTGCTTGTGTTCCCCGAGCTTCTCTGAGCACCTCTGGGACACGTCTCCTTCCCTCGGGACAAGGCAGGGCTCTTACAGACCCCCGCTGGCACGTGCTTGGTTGGGTTTGCACTGCCTCTGCTTCCTAGAGTCATGTCCCCCGGTGTCCCCTTCCAGGGATATGCCCGAGGTAACTGGCCTGGAGGGGCCTCCCTGGTCACTTGGTCCTATTGATTCCAGCATGGGTCACCTCTCTTCCACTCACAGATGTTGTGCACACTCCAGCAATGGGGGCTTAATCCCTCCTGGGACAGCAAATATTTTTCTTAGAATAGTTCTCCCTGTTTGAAAGATCTTCCTCAAATTAGCTAAAAGCAGACTTGGCCTAACTAATGTCTTCCCTCTGGCCCACAAGGAGTCAACAGAACCTGTCTCTAAGGACATGAGCCTGGGAGGGCAGGGGCGGTAGGGCGGGCTGGAGTCTACAGGAGGTAATTCAGCCATCCGGACTTGTGCATTGGGGGTGGTGGAAGAAAGAGGTGGTCAGGCTGACACCAGGCTCCTGGCAGGGCTGTCCAGGTGGACAGTGGGTCATTAGCTAAGAAGAGGGGCAGGAAATGAACAAGAGGGTGGCTCAGCACTGAGGCGAAGGCTGGACCACAGCCCTCATCCCCTGGGCTTCTCTGAGGGGGGCCTTGGCCGGGACGGGAGAGATTCCCTTGCCTTTTCCTAAGGTTGGGGCCACAACTGGGACCCCTCCCTCTGTCTCCCAGGACTCTGATCTCAGCCTTGTGTCCTTCCCTGCAGGCACGTATGTTGGATGCTTCAGCGACGATGGCCAGGAGAGGACTCTGAAGGGGGCCGTGTTTTACGACTTGAGAAAGATGACCGTCTCCCACTGCCAGGACGCATGTGCCGAGCGGTAGGTGCTGGGTCCCTGGCCTGTTGACCCTGCTGAGAAAGATCGGAGACAGTCCCAGAAGGAGGTGGCACCTGGCTGCCAGCTGGCTGTCACAGCGTAATGAGACCTCATTGATCAGATCCCAGTTGTCCGGAAGAAGGAACATTTGTTGGCAGGTGGCCTGGGCATCGGGCCGGTGTCAGGAGACGTGGCTTCTAGTCCAGCTATACCAGGGACTCGCTGCGTGACTTTGATGCATTCTTTTCCTTCCCTGGGCCTCAGTTTACTCATATGTTTCAAATAAAATAAAGAGCTTTAACTTAGATTTCTCTGAGGACCTTTCAGCTCTGTTAGGAAAAGTATTTCTATCTTGTGTTTATAACAAGATTTGCTTTTTCTGATACTGCCAGCTCACCCAGGAGTTACCGGACACTTGTCGTGTCCAGGGAATGCTCCCTAATGCCCAGGCAGTCACAGTTGACTGTGTTTGTGCACGAGCACACACGTGCGTGTGAGAGAGATGAACAGAACAGAATCGCAGACCGGACTCTGCATTCATTATTGTCACTTTGGGTTCTTTTGCCGTTGTTATGTCTTGTAAATCCTCACACGCCCTGCTGGGTAGCAGTTAATCGTCCCCATTTTACAGATGGAGAAGCTGAGGCTAGAGAAAGAAAGGACAAGGCCCTTACTTAATGGAACTTTATAGTCTAGATAAAGCTGAAACTCAGGGCGACACAGTCTCATTTTAGTCTCCGAGCCGTCAGGGAAGCTAAGATGCGGAGACAGTAAGTGATGCTCAGGGCTGTCCCCGTGCCATGCTGAGAACCAGTTCACCAGCACACCACTCATTCAGAGCCAGCGTAACCTGTAACCACGGATGGCACCTTCAGGGCAAAGCTCAGGGCTGACGAGAGAGACCAATGGGCTGGTTCGTTTATCGCAAAGGAAAAAGGGTTCCCCGGACTCGGCCAGATGACGGTTAAGTCTGGCTGGAGGCTGACGGCTGTGGCCCCTGCCTCCTCACCCAGACCTAAGCCCAGCTTCCAGTCCAGCCTTTATCCCGGCCCCAGACCCAGCTGCCATTGTCTGACTCAGACCGTTCTGTACTTAGGACCCCAGCACTTGCTCTGGGCCAACACCCAGACTCACCCAGGCCCTGTCTCCCTGCAGGTCCTATGTCTACGCCGGCCTGGAGGCCGGTGCGGAGTGCTACTGCGGGAACCGGCTCCCAGCGATGAGCGTCAGGCCGGAGGAGTGTAACCTTGAGTGCAAGGGGGAGAAGGGCTCCGTGTGTGGGGCCGTGGGTCGGCTCTCTGTGTACCGCGTGGACGAGCTGCAGCTGGGCTCCAGGAAGCGTGAGTGTGCCAGCCTCGCCCCGCGCTCTGCCTCTCCTGTGTGCTCCCGTTGTCCCTCATCTGCAGCGCCTGGTCCAAGCTACGGAGGGCAGAACCTGTGCCCCTCTTCCCTCCCACCTTCACTGGCAGGCTCCTGGCGTGGTGGGGAGGGCTAGGGCCCATCAAAGACTGCGTGGCTTGAGTTCATGACCGAGGCACATCTTTCCTTGTCCCCTGCAAGAGAGAGAAACTGATTAGCAGGCCCGAGCATGCCTCAGGCATGCTGTGTGGCCTCAGGCAGCTCACTTTCCTTCTCTGGGTTCCAGTCTGTTTTGTAAACTGCAGAGGCAGACCGAGATTTCTAGCAATGATGTGGACCAGATAATCTGAAAGTTCCCTCGCTCTAAAGCACCTAGAAATGCTGGATAAAATTTAACAAACATTATGTTAAGTGTATAGCTGAACTAGCAGGAAAGTCAGGCAATCCTCGGGCCTGGAAGTGAAGAGGGAATGAAGAACCCCAGCGGAGAGAGTTGGAGATGACTCTGTACAGCCCTGCGTCAGCAGAGGGACATTGCCAGTCTGGTGGCCACTAGGTTTAGGTTTCAGTGTCCAAGCAGGATAGGAAAGGAGGCCTTGAGCCTCTCAGGGCAGATTGAAACTTCTATCTAAAGTGGACTTCAATTTTATGGAGATACAAATCAGCGAAAGTTAGATTAAAAAAACATACAACCCACCAGTTCAGGGAGATAGGAACAAAGTCTGTTTTGACCTGAGCTTCAAGTGGGAAAAAAAAAAATCTTCCTAAGAATTTATAACCACAGGCCCGCATTTATATGAATTGTGTGACTCAAATTTGTGTTACCTGCCTGCAATCTCCAACTTAAAATGTAGCTGTGGGCCATCTGGAGGTACTTGACATAGGCAGATGCCAAATCCCTCTTGAGAGCTGTGCCATCGGCCCAGGTGTGAAGGGCTGTCCTGGGCGAATTCTCACTGAACGCCGAGCTTGCGGTTCACAGTGATAGAACTCGGAGGAAATAAACAACCATGGGGGAGAGTAAGCTGATCGTCAGACAGCAGGGCTGGACCCTCAAGAATTTCAACCAAGAGTGCCATCAGATGGAGATGGCACCTGCAGGGGCCCAGCGAGATGAGTTTGAAACTCAGGTTTGTCTTCATTGCGAGACAGTGAGCCCAGGTGTACCTAGTCTAGTTACAGAAGGCTCCTTTATAGAAGAATAGGGTCGCAGACTTCCACACACGTTGGGGGCTATCCTTCCCGTGAGTGGGAGGGGCAGGCTGGGAAGGGGTCAGAGCGTGGAGAGACCTCCCCCTGCCGCTGGCAAGGGTGGGACGGCAGTGACGGAGGCACAGCCCAGTGTCCAGGCATGCAGACTCATGGACACAACCGCCTCTGGCCACGGCCCTAGGGACAGGGGTCCAGGAGAGCTGATGGATTAGTTCCGGAATGGGGCAGAGCTCAGGTAAAGAGGTATCAGGTCAACTCTGAGACTTCAGAGGGCTTTCTAGGGTGACTATCCCAGCCATGAGTGAGTTTTCCAAGCAGCACAGAAGCCCAGCTCTGAGAACTATGGTTGAGCCTAGAGGCCAACCCTGGCTGACCACAGTGCCAGGGACAGCAGCTCTGTGTTCAGCCCCAGCCCACTGGGGCTTCTTAGCAGCTTCTTGCATTCAGACAGGATGTCGGGGAACCAGGAGGCCAGACGGGGCAATGGGGATGGGGTGAAGACACTGACGACACACTCTTTAGCTTAAAGTTTCTCTGAGGAGGCCATTAACTCAACGCATACTCCTCAGCACCTAGTCGGCAGCAGGCCCTGAGCTGGCACAGGGTTTGCTGTGGTGCACGGACACAGTCCTGCCCTGTCACCTGGACATCCAGGTGGGCTTCCTGAGGACCAAACTGCTCCACGCTGCCTTCTTGGGCCTTTTATTCTTTGGGTTCCAACAACATCCCTGCCCCCAGTAGGCCCAGGCCTGTATGTGGACTCCGGGCTGCCCTACCAGCCCCTTCTGCCGGCTCCGTAATTGATTCCTGGAGACAGTTGTTTTGCTTAGGTTTGCCCATTGATTAAGGGACAGATGGCCCAGCCATTCAAGCCAGCCCCAGACCTCGAGTCCGCTAGACCCGCCGTCATGCTTAGTGTGGAAAACGGTGCCGTCACCACCCTTTGGGCAGGCCGTGAGCCCGCTCTGTGCGTGTGACCTCTGCCTTCTTGCCCCCTTCTCGAGGGGAAGAGCTGACACAGGATCTCTGTCAAGAGGTGACCAGGAATCCGAGGCTGGTGCTGAGCAGTTTGTCAATGTCTTCGCCTTGGAGGTGTCATTCTGCCCTACGTGGCACTCGGGCTCTCGCCTGGGGAGCCAGGGAGAAGGGTGTGGACAGACCGCACTCGGCGAAAACCTGCTCCCTGACAGTCGCAGCAGCGAAGTCGAGAGGCAGCTGGCGCCCCCTCTAGCGGCTCACCTGTCGCTCACCTGTCGCAGCATGTGCAGCGCCCTCCTGTGCTTTGTCTTGTTCAGCTCATTCACTTACTCAGCACGTATTGGGCGCCTGCTGTGTGCAGGGACACAGGGCTGACCCAGAGGTAGTCTCCCTCCAGGAGCTCTGTCTGGAGGGCTCGTGGCCCCTCGCTGTGCTTCCCTGTGTCCTGGGACTCGCTGGAACATTGATCACCCTGCTCTCCCTCTGTCTTGCTGCCCTACTGACTCTCCCCAGTGTCCGTCCCACCCCAGTGGAGCTGGCTGAGGTGAGGGCCCGGTCCCTCTGAACATGTGTTCTTTGGGGGCCCAGTCGTGCCACAGGACGGGAAGGAGTTTAGGGAGCCCAGCACCAGCCATCACCCTGGCGTGGACACCAAAGGCCAGGGCAGGCATGTGATGGTGGGGAGACACAGCCCATCGGGGGTGGCACATGGGTGCACATTGCTCCTCATTACGGCTCTGGGAGCTAGGCTATGTGCAGGCGAGGAGAGGGAGAGTCTGAGTCACTGCCAGTGCCTGGACTTTCACCCAGCACCTGAGACCCTAAGCCCCAGCTGTTTCCCCACACCGGGCTGCTTTCCCGTGTCTGAGCCCTAATAGGTCATGCCCAGACGTGTGGACCACTGGTGCTGTGGCCATCTGGGACGGGCTTCCAGATCCAGGGTTTGGTCCTGCTTGGCAGATCCGGGCTGGGGAGAGGGCTCCTGCTGTCACCAGCTAGTAGGGCACGTGGAGAGAGCCGGGGGAGAGCTGCGTCCTGGGAGACCTGGTGTTGCAAGGAGCAGGGCATAAGAATCACGATGCCTTCTAGAGACACTCAGGCAAATCTGGAAGAAATATGAGCAGTTGGTGCCAGAACATTCCAGGAAATTTGTTTAGCACCAAGGCAGCCAGCCGGGGAGCTAGACTTCCCCCCTGAAGGTCTGGGGAGCACCTTGGCAGGAGGCTGCCTTTGTACCATGGACTTGAGGAGTGTTCCTGGAACTCGGTGGGAGTTCAGGATCACAGGGAGGCCAACCTTGCGAAGAAGCAAAGCAGCGGTGTGACTTGGATGGCACAGCGAGAGGGAATGTGGCAGGAGTTCAGATTTCCTTGTCCACTTTTCTTTTAATACATGCTCTGGGGGGACATAGAATTTTCCAGAATATCAGCCTCTCAAGTCACCTATTGGGGAATCTGGCACATAGTAAATGCACAAGTAAGATTTGTCGCAGGAAGGGAGGGGAGCAAGGAAGGAAGGACACCACACCCAGAGACCCTGCAGGAGAAGCAAGACCTGAGCTTAGCAGTTTCAGCCAAGTGGTCCCTGTTGGTGACCCGAGTGATCAAGGTCCCACTGCCTGGATTCCCGCGGGAGCTTGGCTTGACTGCTCCCCACCCGTGGTTTGAAATCTGCCCCTCCTGAGTACACTTGCCTGTCTCAGCATCCAGAGCCGGTGTTTTCCCTCGTGATAGTTACCAGAACCGGGGCCACTGCTTCTCACCAGAAACCCATGTCCCTCCCCACAGGGCGGACCGCCACCTACCGCGGGTGCTTCCGACTGCCAGAGAATATCACGCATGCCTTCGCCGACTCCCTGGCACAGGCCAACGTGACCGTGGAGACATGCTCAGGATTTTGCTCCCAGAAAGTAAGACCCGTGACAGTTTCACAACCCTTTCCTCGAATAATCCTGTGTGTGGTGGTCCCCAGAGGGGGCTGGGCACCTGGGCTGGGCTGAGGGTGTCCAGCGTGGAGGTGTGGGAGGGAGGTCGACCGCACGCTGACATTACGGAGGGTGCCAGCAGGGAGCCCGACGCCTGCGTCAGTGAGTCAGGGCTGGGTGGTGAGTTGTCAGCAGAGGTTGTAACGCTGAAAGGAGCATGGCTTTCTGGATGCGAGCTGCTGGCCTAAGTGTCAGATGTTAAATTGACTTGGTTTGGAAGCAAGAAGATGCTGGCTCGGGACTTGGGACAGCTGATGGATTTTCTGTTATTTGCGCTGACAGTGTTGAGCCATGGATCTGACTGCAGGGGCCATAGTCACACCTGCGCCTTTGGTTCCACCTGGGCTGAGGACTGGAGTGTGGCTCCGTGCAAGGGTTGGGCCGGGCACCAAAGGCCACTGTGCCTGCCTGGCGTGCTAGCTCTGGGGTGGGGAAGTTGGTCAAGGCCAGATGGGGCTTGCAGGGCCACGAGTGTGTGAAGCGACGGTAGGGTGACCCAGCAGGCTGTGTCCAAAAGGTCTTGGGCAGGAGTGCAGCAGTCTGCAGATTGGGGTGGATGCTGTGGCTCTAGGAATGGCCCTCAGTGGCCACAGGCTGGGGACCGGGGCTTTTGCACACGTGCTGGGATGCAGGAGCCTTGACTTGGCTGTGGTACTCAGCAGTGTAATGGAACAGGGCTAAGGAGAGAGCAGGGCCTTGCGATGATGATGGTGGTGGTGGTGGTGATTTCAACAGAAGCTGCCATTTATTGACCATGCCAGGTACTGGCCCAAACACTTCACATGTGTCAACTCATTTCATCCTCGTGGCAATCACAAGTATCACGATCATCTGCATTTTGCAGGTGAGGAAACTGAGGCAGAGAGCTTGAGCAGTCTGCCCAAGGTCACATAGCCAGTAAGTGGTGGAACTGGGATATGAACTGCTGGGGATTGAAAGGCACGGGGGCTGGGTGGCTTCAGTGAGAGCAGCTGTGACTGGACCTGCAGGAGCCAGCACATCCTCTGCGGCTCCCCACCCCTCCTCCTGCTTCCTGTGCTCCTCTGCACTCTGGGGTGCTTCCCTCTGAGGGGGTGGGGAGCAAAGCCTTTCATATGTGCTTTCTTCTCGCCCAAGTGCATCCTTTGCAGTGGCTCCCCTGCGTCACCAGCATTTCCAAAGCCACTGCCGAGGATGTCTTGGGTGTCAGGGCTCCTGTGACAGATTGTGAGCCAAGAAACAGTTTATTGATTTGCAGACATCTGGCCTGGGGACCTCTTCTTCCTCTCTCCCCCTCTTGGGAGCAGAGCTCTGGGTAGAGGCAGCAGGGATGTCCGCTCAGCTGCCGGGCCCTGCTTGTGTGCACAGGGGAAGCAGCCATCCTCCCAGGGCTTCCCTCGCACCTGCAGCTCAGAGGGGTTCCCTGGAGAGACCCCCTCATCAGCATCAAAGGAACTCTGCTGGTCCAGGTGGGCTGAAGGCAGGCCTCCCTCGGCCCTTGGGGGTGGCCTGCTGTGTGCCGGGCGCTGGGCTGGGCCATCCCGAGGGCTGTCTGCTGTCATCCTCCTGGCGGCTCCCAGAGGGGAGATGTTTGGATCCCTGTGGGCTATAAGAGGCAGAGCAGGTTTGCAGAGGTGGGAACCTTCACGCAGGCACAGAGCAATCAAGTGGCTTTACAGCCGGCTCCTGACACCACAGCCTGTGCTTTCACATCTGCTGCCTGTCGTCTGACGCTGGGGGGAAGAGACAGAAGAGATGAGAAGGAGGAAGAGGAAAGGAAAGGGGCGGTTATCACAGCCATGTACCCTCAGCGATGCAGATTGCTTTTGAGTGGATAATGCGCACGCATGGAGCACAATAGGGACAAACCAAGGGGTACGGAGGGGAAGCCTTCCTCCCACTCCGTGTCTTCTCCACCCATTTTCCTTTCTTGGAGGCAGCCGATGGCCTGGCTTCTTGTGTCCACTTCCAGAGAGACTCTGACGATTCAAGCAACTGCATCTTTGTCTGCTCCAGTGTGAACCCACAGACAGTAATGAGCTACACACGCGCTTCTGCACCGAACCCTTCGCTGGACAATCTCAGAGATTGTTCCACGTCAGTACAGAAGGTGCCTTCTCATTCTGTTTTCCCACTACACAGATGTCCTGTAATTTATTTAACCACTTCCCTACTGCTGAGCATTCAGGTTGTTTCCAGCCTTTTGCTTTTACAAACAACGCTGCAATGACGACCCTTGCGCATATGTAGAGAGAATCTGTAAGAAGAAAATCGCTCAGCGATGCTGGATCAAAGAGGGCGTGTCTTTGTTGTTTTGGAAAACTTTGTCCAGCCGCCCTTGGCAAAGGTTGTATTATACTAATTCTGTAGCCCTCTCAGTGACGTAGGAGGAGACAAGCCACCCTTGTGATCCTTCTTTTTGGGGGGAAGGAGCCTGGGATGCAGCTAGGCAGATGCCCTAGTATTCTGCGGTGCCTCCACCTGGGCAGCCCATCAGGGCCCAGAGAGTTCTGCCTTGTGCTTACAGACAAGAATTTAAAGATTTAAAACTCTTCAACTTCTATTTTCAGGCTTTCTTCATATTTACTGGCACAAATCCAGATTGCTGCAATTTCACACTGGAGCATGTGCCAGAACCTCCCCGTGGGCTCTTGGTGTCTGTGCCGTTTTACACCTTAGCACCTTGCCCGTGTCCCCCCACGATGCGTTTCAAGGACAGGTTACCTGCTCAGCTCTGGCTGGTGCAGCTGGGAACCGTTCAGGCCAGATAACACGGGAAGGGCATCCGGGGTTCTCAGAAACGGCCTTTGCCCTGGGAGCTCACAGCTGGGATCCGTGCTGACACTTGCTCCTTGTCCTGGCGCCTCTGTATTGTCGGATGGGGGCGTGTCCTCGAGTCCCATTGTTGGGAGCTGCAGGATTCTGCAGCTGTGAGAACAGTCACCATCTCCAGCAGTAAAGTTGAAAGCGGGTCTTGGCAGAACACAATTAGTGGGATCTGCAAAACACGTATGCTGACACGTACAGTGGATAAAGCCACGTGCGGGGCGCCCCTGACATGTGGCAGAGTGCGGTCAGCGCCTGAAGAGGGTGAAGAAAGTTTGGAGGGAGGCTGAGAAGGGCAGAGGTTGCAACTTTGGGGAAGGGTGGAGCTGGAGGGTGCAGGGCTGCGTCCCCAGGCAGCTGAGGGGGGTGAGGAGTGCACTGCAAGGAGGGCGACTGCTGAGCAGGAGGGGGGTGGTGGAAAAGCAGCCCAGGTGGTCCAGAGTGGAGGGTGACTTGGGGTGTCGTCAAAGGTCAGGTGGGGACAAACCGCAGAGGGCCTTGGATGTCTGCCCCTTTTCCCTTTTCCGTGGCAGGGAGGGTGGTATGGCTGGCACAGCACTTGACAGCTGCAGGGAGAGCGTGCGAGCTGATAAAGGAGGGAGCACATCCGAGAGACACACAGGGACAGAATCCACACGAGGGGATGTGGGGACACAAAGGAAGGAAAAGTGGGAACCACCGGGGGAGGGAAAGGCATAGGCGGGGCAGAGGCGGAGAAGAGCTGACCTGGCCAGTGGGGGAGGGGAGTTCCCGGGCATCCTCCTGGGAGGCAGCGAGCCTCAGGCCACCCTCAGAGATGCCTTGGCAGAGCTGCCAGGGAAGTCGGCCCGTGACCTGGTTCTGGAGTCAGGGATTCCAGTGGGGCAGGAGCGATGCCCCTATGCCATGCATTCGGCTAAGACCACCATCTGCTCAGCACTGAGCCTTTGGTTCCCAGACTGTCCGTCCATTCCCCTCGTCTCGCCCTTGGATATTGGTATAACTTGGACTTGAGCCTTCTGTGCTGCTGGCCCCTTAGCTCTGCGGGTGCCTGGTGGAGGGTGGGGGCTCTGCTGGAATCTGACTTCCCCTTAGAACAGAGTTTCTCAACCTTGGAACTGTTGACATTTGGGTTGCATAATGCTTTGTTTTAGGATCTGCCTGTACATTGCGGGGTATTCCAGCAGCATCCCTGGCCTCTACCCACTAGTTGCCAGCAGCACCTCCCTACCCGCCCCAGCTGTAACCAAACTGTCCCCAGACATTGCCAAATGTCCCCTGGAGGGCATAATCACCCCTGGTTAAGAACCATGGCCCTGGAGAGCCCTCCCGAATATGTTGGGTGGCAGTGCCCAGGCAGCAATGCCCAGGCAGGGCTGCATTTCCCAGGGGGCTGAGTCCTGGTGAACGGTGGCCAACTCTCTGATGAGAATGAAGCAAATTCTGCCTCTAGCACCGAGGTCTGGAGGCTGTGAAACCAGCTGGCAGTTCATCTGCCCCAGCCTGCAGCGGCCAGGGACTTAGCTGCAGGGGATGTTTCCTCCCTTCTCTCCTGAAGGTCGGGGGTGGTGAGAGAGGTGAATTTCGGGATGCCCGGCTGTACTTGCCTGTTCTGAAGTGCCAAGCACGTCCTCTCTGGAAAGGCGGGTGGTGTGGGGCTGCAGGGCTGTCCCAGTGGCAGCTTTATCTCATCCTAATTTGGCTGAAAAACAAGCTCAAATGCCCTGTGATGTGGGAATGGTTAAGTTATGCCACAGCCATACAGTGGACTATAATACAGCCATTGACAATGTTTTCAAAGACTTTTATGATGGAAAATGCTCACAGTAGAATGTGAAATGGGGCAGAGCTGAGCCTGGGGCTGGGGGGCGAGGGGCTTAATGAGGGCTGGCTGGGCAGTGGGGCCAGAGCAGCAGATGGGAGAGGTGGGGCTTGGAAACAGGAAAAGTGGGGAGGCTTCTTGCAGCGCCCCTGCTTTTGAGCACCATCTGAGGCTTATTTGTGGCCCCAGATAAAAATCTCTGCTGTTTTTCGCTAGTTAGCGAAAATGGATTTGGGGAGCTCCAAGAGTGTAGTTTGACAGAAAAAGAACATTTCGGGCAATATCAGCATCTTAATGATCTGATTCTCTGCCAGCAAGA